CCAGCTAGATCACAATCAAATCTTTTTTCGAAGCTTTTCCAAGGACATACTTTATGCAGTACTGGCAGGGATCGGTATCCGGAATTGGTAGGGTGGAGTAAAGCCTCATCTCGGTGCTGGTCATGCTTGATGCTTTCGTTTATCTGGGTTAATGGAGCCGGCGTCTTCTCAGTCAAACAGCCGCTTGAATATGGGATTTTGTTCACCAGGTGCTCGACTTTGTTGGCCTGTACGGTGGATGAAGCGTTTGTTCCTGGAAGGGAAGCAGGGGGCTTGATTGAATCGAGATGTTCAACATCAAGCAAAGTCAAGTGTTTTTCTTTCTTGGACGACATGATAGTATTAACTGAAAGCGGACATGTCTGAATGCAGTAGGTTGAGATGAGTAGAAACAAAATTATCAATTCCACGCCTGCACCAACAGACAAGTTTTATATAGACCCCGGCCAGTCTTCTTGAGGGGAAAGGGCCCTCCCTCAGCAGTGGCCCTCAGCTGTTGGAGGGTCAAATGATTCAGTTCCTTCAAATACGGCATTGATCGCGCACCGCATCTACCCAATTCCTATTGTACCTCAATAGTTCTATGATATTTGTCTTTTTTTGGATAGCTGGACCAAATGCAGCGGGCCTTGTTTACTGAGGAAGAGGTGCGCCTCGCCTCCGAGCGACGCCTGAAATATCAAGGGTCGGCGAAAGTCAGCATCAATGACATTGAATTTGACCCACCATTGCCTCGAGACCTAGACTCGAGAAATCTAGACAGGATTTGCCAGATCTTTCGAAAGAATCGCTGTCGTCGCCTTGACGTGGAGAATCGTATTCCAGTGATCGTAGCTCGAAATGATCTCTCCACGGCACTCCAGCAAGCGGAAGTGACAGCCGGCGCTTTGATGACTAAAAGTGCTGAGCATCTTCCTAGTCTCCGGTTCCCATCAGGCCAACTGCGGGGTCTGCATGGACGACATCGCGCGCAGGCCGGCTCCATGGTGCTGGCGCCCATCGACCGATGGTGGGCCGTAGACCTATATTTTGACGGTCAGGCCGCTGCCTTATTCCAACTCTAGAAGCGACGAGAACTGACTGTGTGCTTCGGTACAGATATTAGTGAGGAACTAAGGACGAATTTAGTAGAAGAATATGCCAACCAGAAGGTGCCAACTGATGGCGAAATATATCGAAAAATACGACAATATGAAGGTGAGCAGAACGAGCCTTTCCGAGAGCGGTGGTTCGTACGATTGTCAAAAAGCAATCAAGGCCGGCTGGAACAACTCGACAACCGCAGAAATCGCCGGTTTCGCGGCGCTTTTGATAAATTGCTACAGATTCCAGGCATTTGGCCTAATGGGATGAGGATCAGCATGCTACATCGTCTGATTGCTACTGACTGTGTAGAAGTGAGTAGTTACCAATATTACCCTTTTTCCTACTCTCGGCCAATCTGCAATATACGTCTGACAACACGTAGGAGATGATTACCTATCTCAAACACATTGAGGAGTTCTGGTCATCTCTCGTCGGCGCCGATACGGCTGCCATGAAGAAAATAGATCAAGATACTGTAGATAACCTGCAGCTTTTGGCCCCCGGAAAGAGCCGCGCGGATAAAAGTACCGCATGTGGCCTTGTCCTGAGTGGCCGGGCATTTTCAGACTTCAGTGAGACAGAGCGAAAGTCTATCTGGAGCCGCCTGGAGGTCTTTGATGGTCTGGTACCGTCGCTATATACCTTTTTCGAGGATTTCAAATATCTGGAAAACTGCGCACAGTGCATTAAGCGCCTCTTCGGCCCCGTTAACGAGTCCATATGGAACACCATGAAACATATGTTCCATGGTTCACCAGACCTTGAAGAAGATTGTCTCATTCAGACGTCGGAGTGCACCGAGCGTCTTCAGCGCGCAGGCAGTGCAGAACGCCTCGATCTCGGCTACCGACAGGTTTGGCTCTTTGCCATGCGGAACTATACCCTCATGCCGACTGATCCGAAGAATGATGACGATCTTTTGGCAAAGCCCAATCGAGCCATAGCAGATGCTCGTACGATCTACGATATGGCCGACCTCGCGCGCCGCCTTGGATTTCATTCTTCGGAGATTGAGAGTATCTTGCAGGGGTCTCCTGACCGCCAGATCGCCCGGGATGCTCTTCTGCAGGCCCGGAAACCCCACCGCTTTCGATATGACGTTGGGGAATTCGATGCTCTTGTCGACCGGATCGTTGAGTGCTTCTCAGCCGCTGTTCCTTACGAGCCTGAGCGGAACCCTGAGCTTTTGGCGGATAGCACCGTAAAGGCTCGGGCCCGATGCGGGACGCCCCAAAAGCGGACGCATAGGCAAGACAGCCTACATCTGTTTATAGACTATCTCCATAAGGACGAGATCATAATTGCCGATACAATTACCACATTTTTTGTCCGTCGCTGCGTCTATTTTGCTTTTTTCGGGAAACCTTGCTCTCATAGCAACCCTCATATGGATCGCGATGGTGACCCGCTTTCCCAGGGTTCACCTGCGTTTTCGCCGTTGTTTATAAGGGACGATAGCGCTGCCGCAAACCTGGAGACCACTAGTCCCGCGAGACTGGCGGCGGAGCAACCTGAATCCGAGCCGCGAGGAGCACCGGCAGGAAGAGGCCAACAGAACATACGGGGGCGGCAGCACCAGCCAGAAGTCCATGAGAGGTTACGACGCCGGAGACGCAAAATGCGAAAGCGAAGACGCCTGACACAACTAGCTGGACAGACTGCTGAGCCATCAATGGAGCTAGACTCCATGAGCGCAGGGTCCACGAACGACGATGTAATGGATAACGGCGGCTCGGATCTGTGGATCACCGATGCAGACACCCCTGAGCCATCATCACCAGCTGCAGCCGTGGATCTGATGTCTAGGGTTACTACACTCGACCCTGAGCCTCTAGCACATGATCGGACTGAGCGTGAGGTGAGGTCAGAGCTGGCTACGTCATTAGAGCCGTCTGATGACGGTGTCTTTGAACAGGTCGCTGCACCAGGACCCGTCGAAAGAGACTCAGGTCTCTTTGAGTCGACCAATTCCAGTATAATTATCCCTGATCAGCCACTCGGAGAGGCAGATTTGGAACAAAACCCGAGTAGCCCATCCCCCAAGCATCCGTGCAGGGCTGCTAGTGGTGAAAATCTGACCCCAACTGATCAGACCCCGCTAGAGAAAGAACAGGCGGAAACCCAGCCAGACCCATATATGGAGGAATATATCAGTAAGATCCTACGGGCTCAGGAGGAGCAGGATCGACTGGAGGAAGAGCTCGAACAGGAGCGGCTAGAGAAAGAACTTGATTTCCCCTCAACTCAGACCAAGACAGCTCCGGAATCAGTTACGCAAGTCCATTCCGGGTCTCCCAAACCTCATGTGCCGACTTCACCGGCATCATCCAACTATTCCCGACCGGAATTTTACCAACCGGTTTCACAACAGGATCCAGCAGTCTCTGTTGCTGAGGATCCACCGGAGACGGTGGCCGCTGTTCAGAACCCAGACCGAGGCAACGCGAAAGGCCACACTTCTGCGGCACGGCAGGAACGTCCCTTGACTGAACTTGATGCTGAAAATTTGAAGTCCCCAGTAGCACCCGGCACCACCAGTGCTCCCGGGACCCCAGAGAATTCTGCTTCGCCCTCTCCCGATGCATCTACTAGCCCAACCCCTTCCACAGGAGCATCCAAGGAAGGGCCGCCGCCGGCCGACATTGTTGAAATCTCATTTTGGTCATTCGAGCGAGGGGAATGGCGGCCAACTAACCTTGTCCGCGTGGATGTGCTAGATCCTTCGCCGGTAGAACGGGTTGCGAAGAAATACATGCGGAAAAAATATTCGTTGTACGACGTGAATTTGCAGAGCCTGAGCCCTGCCGGATGCTTTCATGCGGCGATTGCCGACGGGAATAATGCGATATTCGTGATCTCTGAGCACGAGGAAAGTAAATTGGTAGCCGGCGGGCAACTCATCAAGGACCGGCGGCTTTTGTACTCCGTTTCGAAAGTGCTGGAACAGGGCCAATCTGGGCCGGAACGACAAAACAAGAGACATCGTCCGTGAATGGCCCAGTAGCACATCCTTGTCTTTCAGGGCCATCTGAGTGTTAAGGAGGGCCTCTTAAGTATAGGGATGATCTGTGAAAGTTCTCTTGGGATCGTTTCGGACACATGTAGTAGATCCGCATGTGTAGAAGCTTCTAAGCCTGGGAGCCACACCAGAATCTCCTCTTAGACGAATATTTCAAATGTGTAACACGCCATGTTGACTGACTCATGAAAGCGTTAGACTAAGAGCGTATTCATGCAAAGATATTTATGTGAGTGAAAAGAACATGAAAACCCTGACTCAAAACTCTTGTTCTATGACAAGTTTCCTCTTGTGAGGATCCTCACAGAAGGTAAGAGGGTATGAGGCTCCCTACTTGAAATATGGTTCTGCACAAGAAGATCATGGCCATATGAAACATCTCATAGGTCTGCCGGGCCCACAATATTGCCGACACAAATGTAGGTTAGTCATAGGATAAACTAGGATTGCCTTACCTTGCTCCGAAAGTGGATTGTCCTTCACCACCTAGATATTTTGAGTGACTCTGCTGCTCGCTGCTATCATTGTTTTTCATGGCTAAAAATGATTCCGTACGCACAATAGCCAATACAGTCACGTACCTCTACGCCTTACTTTTTTTTTTTTTTTCCTCGCGTTTAGGTTTGAATACCATCGGTAGTAAATAAATTTAAGTGAAAGGCGATCAAGACGGCAAAGAGCCCTCGAGAGCCAAGATCCGAAACCACGCACGAGAACATGCCAAATCTGGCTGAAGGTTGAAATTATCAGCCTACGAGAGTATTATCAGCTAGCCGCAGTTTGATTGCTGACTTTCATTAAAATCACCAATAATCTATAGCCATATGACGTGCCACTCCAAGGATTTGAAGCCCAACTCAATGGTGAGACGCGCGTCTAAGTGCTCTCAATCGGCTCAGGGCTGGAACTCCAAGTCTGAAAGCTTTAACCCCTGATGGAGGTGTTCCCGTACCGTCTCCCGTATAGAGTCCCGAAGTTTATCGGTTGTGGAAACTTAGCCGAAAAGGTTAGCTTACAATCTGAACGATTAAATAGAAGGCGCCTACCCATCACCAGTGTTCGACCTTGCTCATCCCGGATGTTGGGCAATCTCTCAATCTGCTCTCCGGACGCCTCAAGCGAGATTACATTTCGATAATCTGGTTTTCCTTGGTAAAGAAATACTCGTTTGTGCTGGCCGAAGGGTACTTTGTTCCGCTCAAGGCCGCTCGAAACGTAAATAGAGATGTTGAGTATCTAGAAAATGGTTAAGAATTAGCTTTAGCGAATCATCTCTTTGCGTAGGAACCAAATACAAACATAGCCGTCACCCATGATGTCGTCCTTCAACAGATTATTCAGCAGATCCTGAGCTGCAATAATTTCACTGATCAGCTCTACCTGCCAGACCAAATGCAGTCGGCGAACCTCGGAGGTACAGGTATTATAGCCGTAGATCATTTTTTTCAAGTATGGAATTACCGTGGCAATTCCAAATCCACTGGCAATCACCAAGACGCTTTCATATCGGTCCACATGCTCACTAATTCCATGAGGACCGGTAAAGAATGCTAAGAAGGAGACCGAGCCTTCAGCAACTGTAGGAGCGTAGCGAAGAAGATCCGCGGTTAAACCATGGCGTGGCTGCACGAGAAGTTCCATGGTATCCTGGTGATCTCTAGACCATGATGTGACAGTGAACGGGTGTGTCTGCATCCATGACCGCAGACTGACTGACGGCATCCAAAGATTGATGTATTGTCCAGCTTGCACCTTCACGGATCGAGGTAGGAGGATTCGAATCCGAATCGCTGTTACTGCAGAACTTTTTTCCGTAGATCCACTCACACTGAATGACACAACGGCTCTAGGACAGCCGCGGCCCGCTAGCAGCCCGTTGCGATATAAGAAGATTACTAGTTGTAAGAAAGACGTAAGAGCAAGAATACTTAATGCAATGAAGAGGTAGATTCTGGGGGGACGTCGCTGGGCTAGAAGATGCTGCCAGGTGCCGTAGACGAAGAGCCCGGTAAGGATTTGATGGCCTCGGAGAAAGATCTCGTATGACCGTCGACGAAACCATGGGATCGCAAGTAGAGCAAGGATACCCAGTGAGATAGCCCCCTGTAGAATATTAGTTAGAACAAAGTGAGCCCAGCCCCAACAATAAATCATACAAGCATTGTGAAAAGGTTTGCCGATTCGTGGAACGAAAAGCTAAATCCCCGCATCTGAACTGCAGCAACAATGTGGAATGATAGCAGTGTTATAGCCATCCACCCGGTAGCACGGTGAATTCTGTAACATGTACGCCAGGTAATGCCTAGTAAATCAGCGAGATAACTTAGGTGGATCGTAGATAACGGAAAAATCAGATTGATCAGGGCTAGTTCTCCTGCCCGACAGCCGGCGTCAGCCAACGATTGCTTACGGAAAAAGACGAGAAAGGCATTGATTGCAGCATATGATACATGGAGAAGAATGCCAACTCGGGTCCAGGGACCCCAGAATTGATGCCTACGAACAAAAAAGGGAAGGCTCAGATGCCGAGAATATAGAACAGAAAATGAAGTTGACCAGTTGGCGATTACCCTGCCCAAAAAAAGACTACCAAGTATACCGCCAGCAGTTATAGCGTAAATAGCCAATGCATCCATAATGTGTGATAAGGGAGCAAATGACAATAGGCTAAGACAGTCAAACAACGAAAAATGAATTGTAGAGAGGTATCACCCGAAGGAAAATATTTATATAGTATAGAATAGCCACGAATACTGATCGTATCAAGAAGGTAGCATGTCACTTGTGGAAGGCTATAGACACACAAAAACAGGTAGGGTCCTAGACAAAGATACATATAACTCTGGCAGTGAGCACACCCCGGATAGATCCTCAGTACTTCTCTGGGGTTAGTTTATTCAAAAGCAGTGGGAAACTCTATCTGGCAAGTACGAGCTTTCCTCTGGGCAGCACCTATTATCGGGCTACAAAACAGAGCATTTATGTTGGGACTGCAACTAAGCTCGTGGAGGGTGGTCAAAAAGTGAGGGTTGCAAGGAACACCTTGAAAAGCTACCTATGCCAGAAACACCGGGACAGATCCACCCCACCCTACCCAGCACCACAATATTACCCCTTTCAGCAAATCACTCCAATCTGCTCACTCCGGGTCCACTGGCGGCGATGCTCAATCATATCATGCGAGTGCTTTACGTAATATATGCTGTTGACATCTTGGTGTAGGTAGTCTTGTATATTGTCCCGGATGCGGTCTTTGAGACCGAGGGTGCTAGTGAATGGCTCTCAGCCAACCAGAATGTATCAGAAAACCATCCATAGATCCTGGTTTTTCATGACCAAGACAGGTTCTTCTGACTGCCGACTGCGCACCCTTCTCCATGTGCGATACTGTAATACTAGTTTACTACAATGGTAAGACTAACTCGATTCTTAGCGATGCTCTGCATAGTATGTACTGTATGTGTTGGTGGGCTAGGTCAATCATAAGGCGGAGAAGAAATGGTGGCAATCGATGGATAAGGACCTATCTTATCCACAGCAGCATGAGTTGGGATCTCATTTATTTGCTCCGTTGACAGGGCAGGTCCGCCATCGCTCAAAGTTATTGCCCACAACCGTTGTCAAATAGGCGAATGGTAAAAAAAGAGTGACCAGCGGTGTCGGAGACCTGTCAATGTGATCCTGTAATCTACGCAGATTTGTGTTCATCTCCCTTCAAATGCCTTCTACTCACTTCCTCTACTCGACAGGTTGCGTTTATATGCCTATTATAAATCCCAAAAATACGCCGAGTGATAAAATAACTAATCGTTATTCATAATATAATCTTTGCCAAGGTCTCGTCGTATTTCTACGGAAAGAATCTAATTTGCCACGTAGCTAGGGCTTTGGAGAAGTCAAAGAACGCGCGTTTCTTGCAGTATATTTGCTAGCAACCGTATCCTGATCTTAAAACAATACAAAGAGAGAAAGCAACGTCTCCACCTATTGAATCATAATTGCATCAAGGGAGTATGATACAATCGTTGGGCAGGTATTCTATGGTACTTCCATTCATGCAATAGCAGTTACCGACAAATAATTCGCCGATCCTATTGTGAATTGTGGTTAGATAATTCGGATAATCCATACTGCAAGACTGTCACTAACTTCACTGCACACGCAGATACGGATGGAGAGAATAATTCTGCTCCCAACGTGGTACTCATTGTCTCACTATGGAACAGACCATCTGCAGACGTAGGGCGTTTGGCTGATGCCGTTACTATGGACTCCGGGGGCTGCGTGTTAGATTGAGGACCTTCACTTGAGCTGCTTGGTCGTCCCTGGCGGGAGTTAGCTTCGCTTTCGATAGGTATCACTGAGTAAGTTTGGGTCGTTCGAGGTGGTTGAGTAAGTGTGGTCACAATCTGGTTGGCCGGTGAGCTAGATGCACTTCGCCCTGATTTCTCTGTGGCTGTCACAGCGTTGCTAGATTGTGAAGATACACCTGAAATCAACAGCGAGATTTCTTCACACACAAAGTTTGAGTCTTGCTGACCTATTATAAATCAGTAGACGTGAAGAAAAACCACTGAAGAAACGCACAATCACGAAAAACGGCGGCAAGCTGAACTTCACATCCTTCTCTCACCGAGATGGAACGTTCTTGCCCACCACGTACTGACCGTAAAATTACATTAGTATTAGTGAAACTTGTGAGAAAGGTGCAAGCTCCTCCAACGCCTCCCACAGATTGCTGTTGTGCTCTTGCAGATATGGCAGCTGCAAGCGCGATAGTATAGTAATAAACCATTGGGATAATAGTTTTTAGATATATTATTCACTGGAATAATGTGTCTCTTACCACTCTGACGTTACTTTGGTTACATACTTATACTTTCATTTCATTAGTACTTTACCAAGTCATCTACAAGTTTTAGTCCATTGCCGAGTCCTTAGCGAACAAAAATTTCTTCCTGGAATCCATTTCTAAAAGGCTGCTACAAGCCTGTTAGCCCCAGTAAGAAACATCGTCAATATCTAGAGGACATTGATTATCCGGTCGAGCTGAAAGAACTGAAGCAGGGTTCTAGGTACAGTATCCCTTACAATTGTTTGAGTAAAGTTTATGCAGGGTGTTTAACCTAGATTAACATATGACTTATTATGTTTCTGACCGCATACTGGTAGTTTCTAATCACGAAACAAAGCGCAACAAAAAGGTACTGCCCGTGGGAAATAATTTTGGAGATGTCAAGAATGTATATAGATCATTTTATATTGTCTGTCGAAACCTTTTGCAGGAAGTGAACCATGAATAAAGCCTAAGGTTCTACGGGCCCATGTTATATTTGGACTCAACTAAGCAAAGCTTGAGTAATGATCATGGCTGTGGTATATAATATCGACCAGGCGATGATGGGATCCATAACTGTTGTAGATTGTACTGATCTTGCCACAAAGATATAAACCATTTGGCTCCTGCTGTCCTGGGCCGTACATAGTCACTAATTAGTTTTGACTAAAGTACGCAGATACAATGTTCAAAAGCAGGTGCTTTCTGACGTTATTCCTGCTTTTAGCGACGGTGGTTTGTTGTCAAGTCCGTCGGGTTTGTTCCTTACTAACTGCCGTAGATCTACGGTGCCGTAGCTTACCCAGGAGTCAGGAGAACTAGCACAGTATGGGCGAAATCAGGTGGAGAATCTTGAGTTTTGGCTTACTTTCTGTGCACAGATTTTGAATTCGCCGAACTTTCCTGCTCCTGCCCTTGAGGAGAGAGGTCTACCTGGAAAGCGTGGTGTGAGCTCCTACAAGAGAACTCGTTGAAGGTACCCGATGGCTTACATCTCCTTGAAAATAGATAGGAAAGCCCATCTGCGATTTCACACGCGGCCTCGCTTACATTGAGCCCACTGACTTGAATATCAACCATCTGCGAGACGTTAAAGATACTTATTGTGGTGCTGAAGCCGGTAATTGTGCCCGTGTATCTTACCTGAACAGTTCTTCGATATTCTTTTGTAACTATGTATGATATAACACTCTTTCTGAAGCTGAAGGTGAATATTAATAGGCCAATAGAACACAGATCGCATATATACCAAATGTGGGAATCTCATTGAGCCTGCGCTGGCCATATATGAGGACTGCCGGCTCGCATCTCGATATACTTATGGCTATCTTAGCGGTATGGTACGAAATGGAAATGTGGACGAAGATATAGTTACAACAGAAGTTGCCTACTACTTACGGCTAGGTGCTGAGCTTCCGTAAGAGAGATACGTACTCGCCTCATAAGTCTTGACATGCGAAGCGCGGTGGAATGTTCCATGAATACAATTATCCCTTGAGTAAGACTAGATATTGTGTAGCTAGTGAGTTGTTTTACAGGATATTAAACTTATTTGCCATATATGCATGGCCTTGAGCAAATGGTAAATTACAGTAATAGCAAGTTACGTCAACGACAACGATCGTCAAGCTCTGCGATCTTCTTGGGCTCTCCCAGTCTGCATTAGATAATGCGAAATGATACATATGAACAAGTGACACATACATAGTAACTTCAAATAAATGCTGTGCTTTAAGAATTCTTACGGTGTTTCGTCACCGCTGTTGTTGTCTTCGATATACTACAAAACCAGACAGAACCTGCCCTGAGACAGAAATTCCGAGTTCTGCCGATCTGACAGAATTAGAGGCCCCGTTCACATTGCTGAGTCCACCTATTTCTAACATTTTGAAGCCGTGGTATGTACCCAGGTACGCCTTAATTCCATGAGAGCCTGGCTGTGCTCGTGGTTCACTTTACGTACGAGATTTATTGACTTACACGTTAGATCTGATACTGTACTATCTTTGCCTATGTTTACAGCTCACTATTGTCGCCACCCACTCACTCTGTTGCCAATTTCTTAACTCTCTGTAGTAAATTTGGATTGCTTAATTACACTTATCCTTGTTTGGAATATTCAGTTATATTACGTAGATCAGGTAGATCCAATAGATTGCGAGGCGGGCTTTCTTGGCATTGTACCCTCGAGAAAATATAGAGTAGGTGGTCCGGTTTTCTGGACACTCTGTACGTGTGTTGTATACATTCTTAGAAATACTCTAGATGTATTGCAAGGCTTGAATTAAAGCTGCTTAGTTTGGCAATAAATGATTTGCATTAATCGTCAAGTTTAATATTCTAATGCTTCTGCCTATGTGGAGCACTAGGAGTAGCCGTGTGATAGGGGAGCCCCTCAATTCGAATCTCCGCACCCTTCAGCCATAGCCAGTAGCATTTTCCGCCCAAATCAGGGAAAAGATTTCCAGATGTCTGTGAAATGGATGTTTTGACGACTCCGACCCTTCCCGTAACACTCAAAAAAACTTGCTTCCATTCTGTTGTTCCCACACGCTTGTCTTCTTGCTTATTTCTGCTTTCTGGGAGCGGGGGGAATACAAATCTTAGGTTAAATGGGAAAAACTTGGAGTTAATAGGGAGTATTGTTCGCGAGTTGAAAAATGCTGGTATCAATTTTAGTTCCAGAAAAAGCTCGCCTTCTTTGTGGGTTGATATTTTTATCTTGCTGTAAGGAAGATGATTGCTTTCGGATTCGGTAAACTCGAACCTCGCGAGCTGTCCAACGAGCATGTCAATTAAGATAGAGCTCACTTGAAGAAATCATTCACTGAACTTACCATTTTGGGTACATTCCAGTTGCTACGGCCTGATGAAGGGTATATTAGCTTGTTTGTTTTTTTCTTTCTCATAGGCCTCTGTGATCGGAATTTGTTTTGCCACAAACCTTGATACACAGCGTTCTCATCAGAAACATAGATTCGTGTAGCTCGGTATGCCATTTTTCCAGTTTCTGGAAGCCTAAAAGCCCCAGGTATCCATAGAAGCTCGTCGTATGGGCCTAGAAGGATGCTGCCGTTAGCCGATGGTCAAGATTTACTGAATACATCAAGTTGCTTACCGACAGGGCTTTTCTGATAGCGGACAATGACACAAGCTTGTAACCCCCCAGCATATATGTGTTTGGAAAACGAGTGATCCTTTTCTAGATCATGATAGGATGCTGCAGCTGGCTCCGCTGTTATCGAGGACCTAGCAATACACATAAAGATATCACCTTTGACTTTGTCCCATTTGGCACAACTAGCAGCAGTTGGCGATTCCATTATCAGGTGACTGTCAATGGTCACTATCAATACTGTAAATGCTAGAGATTATGGTGTGGCCTGTCGTATTGCACCCATCAAGAAGCAATTCATTTAGATTCCAGAGTTTGCTTGGGACTATTCACTGTTTCAGGGATGACTAGAGTTTCACGGGCTATTCTTGGCGTATCCACATAAGCACTACCAAAATCATCCGAGGCGAGTATGAGTCTTAAGAGTTGAATATTGTAATCAGGCATAATTAGATGGACACGTTCATCAAACATATACTAGCAATACCTCTGCCTATACTAGTCGGTCTCAATTTATCGTTACAATCTGCCATGATCTGAATTTCAGTTTCGTGTTTTATCAAGGGGTTGTTTGGAATATCATCTCGTAAATTGGTTTACTCCTAGGTTGAGTAACTGTTCAGCAGCTAAGCGAAATGCGACGCAACCGTTGGTTGAGCAGTTGCTGGCTCTTTACGAATGACTAACAACCGTTCTGCGTGGGTGGTTAGATGAACACAACCAGCTAATTAATAAGTGACATGCTTCGACTAGGACCAGAGCGCATCTTTATTGACACATCTGAACACGCATGCGAGACTTTCCTCTCTATAGTATCATGTCCTTTCTTTCATTGATTGCAAATATAAGATTCTGATGCCTTTTCCTAAATTTGTTCCAGCCACATACAACGCCAGAACATAATGAAATTGGAACGAGTACAGAGTACTGACTCCGATGCGATTCTTCTAGGGTTGTATGGGGTGTTTGCCATATATCATGGGCTTAACCGAGGAAGAATATATCGACCTCGCCATGAAGGTTGCCATATGAACTTGAAGTTGTGATGCAACCAGGCTAACCTGACTTAGGATTAATCTGGCATGTGTTATCAGGTGTGCTTGAAGTTATCTTGTATTATGGAAATTTCCAGTGCTCCATAGTCGCGGTGGTAGCCTGCTGGATACACTCCTACACTTCCCTTATTTTGGTAAGGGACTTTCCAAATGGTTATCCCCCCCACACTAGTAAGTACTCAATTAGAATAACCACGAAAGCATATAAGGGATGGTGTCTAATTGGTGAAAATAGGGCCGGCGTATCAGGCAGGATCCATCATGCGAAGTGTCCTGGTGGTGCGCGCCTACTTCAGCCAGAATCCTATTCACTATCATGATAGCATGATGCCACTGCATGGATTTGTGTATACACGTGCATTAATCTTTCTTCTCGGGACCATGGGACCAACCCGGTCATTTACTACGAACGTGAACTCCCAATTTGTATATGCGGAGTCGGTCTTTGGTGCCGCCCTCATTTCCATAGGTCATTGTCATGGATCCTGGCCGGTGCCAGTATATTTACTTTTGATGCATTTCCTGGGGAAAATAAGCCTGTGGGTTGAGGAGATACACGAGAGTTCCAAGTGTGTTACTATACCAAATGATATGACCATTCACTAATTTTCGATGAACAATCACTAGGAAGAACAATCTCGTTGAACCTACTTCAGTCACAATCTTCCGTCACGCAGGGTTTCGGATGCGCGAACCATCTTCCGAGCTTACAAAAGTGCCATCAATAGGACACCTTCGGATGGATTTCCTCGGAGCTTGGTGGACGAAAAAATAACGTCTAGCTTCTATTATCCAGCCTTGCCCCCGTGGGGTCCCGTGGCATCAGGTCCTCAATTTACCGGACGTATGTTCACATATTTTAATTTCGCCAAGGACAAGCTATCTGCAAGATTTCTACGGAATGCCAGTCTGTACAGATGATTTTAAGAACGGTGCAAATGTTCAGACTCTTTGACTTCTCCCCCCAACCCTAATGCAATAAACGCTGCCTCACTTGTAGAGCATTCCTATGGGCCTCATGTATAAATTATTGTAATGAATAATTATCTACAGCCGTGACTGAGAATTTTCTTGCGTGTTCTACGTAATCACCAACTAATCAGTTCGCTTTGTAATATTACGCAAGCGCAGATTATTAACCCCACGGATAACTAGCTCCTAGCCGTCCATACCTAGTGCTCGCGCTTCCTGGGCACTGCCTATAACATCAGTTCTTTGTGTTTTTTCCATAGACACATTATTTCCTGTAATACAATCATTAATCATGGGATTAAACGGTCTACCAAAAGAGGGTATTTCACGAATGTTCGCGTAATCCAACATCTCAATGTTCATTGGCGTATTGACTTTTCGTTTCAGTTAACCTTATTTGGCGCAAGGTGCAGGTAAAGGCTCCACTTTCCGGAAGGTCTATTCCTTGCGTGTGGGATAAAATAGGCGAGATTAGACCCTTCTCTGTACGGAGGTGTGTTCCTAATGTTATCAAATTACGCTATTATATATCACGTGATGTTTTGGCCAATAAGCATCACTTATACACTAAAATTCAAAACAGGCGCCCGGGTCTTGTATCCTCTCAATTGTTTCCCAACCCTACGCCAAGAATAGACTAACCTCTTTCTGAGATACTCCGAATCCTGGATGAGATACTGTATGGTATTCAAATCACTCATTACAGTAATAATACTATAGTACATGTTTCGCTAAAACAAGTCGCTTTTGTTTCTCAACACCCCCACCTATATCTCTCTGCCAACACTTAACTAGCTAGCCGCTTACCAAGCTTCCACCGCCTCGAGTTCAGACATTCTCCTGTATCCACATCTCAAAGAGACTAACCAGACACGGTAGCTGATTTGCACAGCAACTCCTTCCTATTTAATATATATCCATTATCCACTGGATTTTCTCTGCTTATTCACTCATAACGAATTCTATCGAATATCCTAGAGTATGTCGCGAGAAGAGTGTGCTCCAACCTTGCGTCCCCTTAAGCCACGCCCTGAATACGTTCAGCAAAGCAAAGAGAAGGACGTTGAGCCGTGCAGTGTGAGACAAATTCGATCGTCTGCCGCTTGCACCGAGTGTCGTAGGCGGCGAAAAAAGGTTAATTTGTTTTATTTATAAGTTCGCCGAACAATGATAGCAAATAGTCCTGACATCCTGCTCTTCCCAGTGCAACGGTTGTACGCCATGCGAACAGTGTACCCTTCATAACCGTGAATGTGTCATTGACCTGCTACATGACAAACGTAAGAAGATATATATCAGGAAATTGGGACAAGAACTTCAATATCACCGCACATTTTTACATCAACTGTATCAAGTTATCCGTGAGTGTGATGATGCAGATGTAAAACAGCTTGTCAGCCTGATCCGAGATGGAGGAACAAAAGAAGATATCAAAAATGCTATTGAAGGGTATCTACAACACGATACTCAACATCCTATATTTGGGGAATCTAGTGGAAAGCACGAATGAGGCTCTACTTGCAGTACTTTCATGGGGCTTCTTTTCCACATCTGATTTGGACACATCGATGGTTGTTGGCTGTGTCATATGTCTGCTTCTAGTGTCGTATTGAGAAAAAAAAAATCATTAGTTACTTACAATAACGTATTATTATTTGGATGTAGGGGTAAGGTACAGTAGAAACTTACTGGGAAGATATCCGCTCACTAGCTATATCAAGGCCTGATAATCAATATAAAGGCTTCCCAATAAGAGACGATGGCCATGGAATTTTAGTACATTAGAACTTGTATCTAGCAACATATTTATCTTACCCATTGGAGGTGATACATTTCCACTGAAAAGAACTATCCATAGCGTAAATCAAATGCAACTAGAATGTTCCATATGCAAAATCGTGGTAAGTAACTTCCTTTCACACTAAGTATTTGTGCTCTGGATCATCGCAAAGACCTCTTCTTGAGATGCGCCAGATCGTATGAGACTAATTACTCGATCTATTGCTGGCTGATCCTCACTTTGGAATAAGTCCAGAAGTTGATCCAGAAATCCTCTGTAATAATCCACATACTCCGCAGTGCTAGCAGGGCTATGAGGGTTTGTAGTTGGTCTTCCCTGCCAGTTGTCACGGGCGCTAAATTCGTAGATTCGGTCACCATTACTGCAAAGTGTGTATGTTAGTCAACCTATGAATCCACAAAGTATTGGCATAAACTTTGGATGGGATTTGTTTTACCTTCCTGAGCTCTGGCAGCTTTCTTGGATCATTTTTGCTCAAGGGGTTATTTTTTGTGTGATCTGGAAAGGATACTTGGTATCCCACAAACTGTTAGACTTGGTAAGAAGTGAAATAAATACATAAGATGATAATGAGTTAAGAGGCACATTTACTCTTTAAATACAATACTAGTTGATTAGACATTCTGTGCTTCGGTGGATGAAGGTGAACGAACCTTGGGTGTCAAATAGTTCTCGGCCGGAATAACAAACCTGCGACCTGACATTTCACCTTTTTTCCTTATAAAAAAAAAAGAATAAAAATGATGAAAGTAAGTGACAGTATATGTACGCTTCTGCGCCCTCTGTCTTGTTTTTCTCTTTCATCTTTTCTCTTGAGTTATTTCTTCTCAGCAGATTAATTTTGCAATAAACAAAGCTACTCCATGGTTAACCTTATGCACTGTTAATTTGAGAGCCATACACATCTTATGAACATTGACGTTAGTGACAATCCAATAACGACGAGTAGGTACTTTAGCTGCATAGGAGCTATTACGACTGGATGTACGTGCAACATTCTCAATACATCTATTTTGATAGATTACTGCGATTAATCTATCCATATTGTTCGAAAAAGCTTCAGGCATGACACGTGACCTTCCATATTCAACTCGGAGGAGTCCAATGTTCCATGGATGGGAAGGCAATGATGACATGATGATTCAATTGGGGTCTAATCCTTGGGGCTGACTACAACATTTCACTTTAGTGACAAGTAAATTAAGTACAATACTAAATAACATCATTCTTTTATTCCTCACGATTCACAACAACCGTATACGTTACATACCATCATCATGGAAGCAGGACAGGATAAGGGATCTCAATCCCAGGCTAGATATTATTCCATAGTCATTGAGATACAGAACACTGAGCCGACGAATTCCTAGACTCTCTCCGGAGATGAAAAACGCCGCGTCCGCCTCTATGGAAGACTACGTCATGGTGGATTGCTCAGACAACAGTCCAGGGTATGTTTGTGATAATCAACACAAAGCAGCTACTTACGAGCAAAAGGAACGGAGGTATTTTGACTCCGGTGATTTGGCTCTGTCTGCAGCCGTTAAAGTGACTGATGACGGTCCAATTCAAACTGGCACAGCCCACCCTATGCGTGACAATATTTCGCGTCCTTATGCCCCGGTTCCCAATACTAGCAATGCCAACAAAGATGCCAACAGGGACGTTAGTGGCGAGAGCCAAGTTCAAGAAATGATAGATAGCCCTCTACACCAGCAAATTAACAGTGTGAATAATATGCAGAAACCGAAAGGAACTATTTAGGATAGACAACTTTTCTGGCAATGCTTTTCAGTCTATCCATGAGTCTCATGTGACACCCGTGACAAATTGGTAGAAGGAAACCACAAGTTTAGCTACAGCAATTTAGCGAACTGTACCTTAATTATGATTTCTGCTGGGTTATTATTTTCTACGTATTCAATCACGTCAAGCTTATTATCACATGGACGCACTTTTCGCCTAGGACAGCGATACATGTTGCATTCCGGAGTCCAGTAAATATGCACTCAATTTTTAGGCTAGCGTCTTGGCAACTCGGCCCTGAGTAAATGGAGGAGTACAAATCGGTAAAGCTGGTTTTGAATATGGCTGTAGGCAAGCTCACTGTAAATGGATTTACCACGTAATCCTCGAAAGAGTCGGTTGAGCGGTAGTGTTTACTTTCCGTTACGGGGTTGGGATCCACCATGAAAATCAGCCATGTACAAAACTAGAATAAGGTATCTTATCAGCGATGAGATAGCTGTCATACAAGGTCTGTACATGTACCATAGCTAGGGATGGTATTTTACACGTATATACCATACAGTAAACTTTGCGGGAATAGTTATTCCGCTAGTTATCCACATGTAGTTTAGTGGTTCTTGGTGATAGGAAACAATCAAAGATACAAGTCCCGGGCGCCGGTTTTGAATTTTAGTGTATATTATAAAGAAATACCCTATTGGCTAATGGCCACGTGCCACATGACCCACCTGTTTGATAACTTTAGGAACACACCTGCGTATATTGCAGCAAAACACGGAATCTCTAGTTTCATACCTGTGAAGCTGTAACTTGGTAGTAAGTGAGCGAACACCCCTCAACTGACAACTTGGACAATCCATACGTAGCCTCCCGTAACTTCTCAGAGGCTATCTTATCCGCCTCAAGGGTGTAAATGGGATCTTCTCGGCTCATTACATGACTATCCTTTGCAACATAGTCGGTATTTAAGCACATTTAATGGCATATAAAATCAAAAAACTAGATACATAGTCAGGCAGCATGTCGAAAACCGATAGGATTGATCTGTGAGTTGATGTGAACCAGCCAGTTTAAGGCCGGAACGACGTGGCCAAGCTTGGCCAAAAAAAGGCACCCCGTTCGGCTAATTTTCCACTCCACAAGATGGGTAGGACCATTAGGAAAATCATGGTGTCCGTCTAGCGTCCATTAGCCGGGGAAACCAAGCTGACTTCCGGTATGATATTACTATACTTAACTGTCGATTAAACCTTAGTTTACAAGTCTAGTTTGTGCGTGTGGGAGGGATCTACTTCCTCTCAGAAATCCTGGCACCTACACAAGGCCTGACCTATAAGGATGCAATATAAGATTGACGCCAAGGCTCTATCAGCACTAGCGTTTCAGACGTTCTTAATCGAGAGTCTCCATATAGGTTATTATTACTGATTCTACTCTTCAAGAGTTAAGGGCTGTGATTAATTTTCCTAAGTATGGGCGCCGAAGTTCCATATCTAGTCTATAGGAAGGGCGCGGTCGTCTAGTTGACTTCAGAGCGGTTAATATAACTATCTTCCTTATACCTTTTCCCCGAAAAATTCTGAAAATATCCGCATGAGAGCTGACACATCAGATACCTAGAATGTTCGAAGGATCAAATACATATTACTTGCCGAAATTATGGCGGTCAATGTCTGCTGGTATGGGATAGCCAATGGACGTATCACATCCGTTGAACACCGACAAAGCCGGGCTTGCCAATGGCGTAAAGTTTTCATGTAGGCACTAGTATGCCTGGGATATTTAACAGTTGAAGGTCTCCCTCGGAGTCCATAACTCCATTCTTTCCTTAACCTACAGTCTAAAAAGATCTTAACATTCAAAATCGTCCTAGTTTGAAACGCGAATCCACTCGCACCTTTTGCCTTCTATACCAACTCGACTCCTTTTCTTGAGAGAATGGATCCTCCTCGTATTAGATTACGTACGTCTAAAGCTGATTTGAAAGAATTACATGACGCTGTGGCAAAATTGCAGAACTGGGGTTTTGACATCAAAAAGGATGGATCACAGTCCACATTCAATCTGTATTTTAAGCCTGGATGTGAAACGCTCCCAGAATTAGAGTTTTTCTTGGCATGCCTCGAAGTGATTGATCAGGTAATTACACCTAATGGATTTCATCCGCTCGAAGAAGGGAAAACAGATGAAAGGGTTTACGTACAAAATCAACCGGTGAGTGTTGCCTTTAAGCCAATATTGAAAGACAGTGGCTGATAATTTTGATTTTTATTACAGACCGTGGTACTCAAGGCAGAGAGCAACAACAGAACGGCTAAGCTCTAAGAGGTTATTCGTATATAACGGTCAACGAGACCATTACCAGCTACCTCTTCAAGCGACACCGACTCCAGCACCTACCCAAGGAGCATACAAAAAAGTATATCGGCAACGATCACTCGTCAGGTTAGCTACCCCAGAAGCTACGTCAGGGGTTTACAGAGGCATACATGAGGAAAGACCATATAAGTGCATTCATTCATGTATCTAGTTTAGTTCATGAGGCTGCAGCCAACTTATCAAACCACTATGGCACCGTCGAAAGAGGGCAGGGCTTTTAATAAAGTATCACTGGTTCAGCGCCACGCGAATTGATATGTAGCTATTTAGCACACTGCCTTCCTGATATTGGCTTTTTCTGTCCCTTTTCTTTTATATATATCGGGAAGGGTGCAGTGGTGCACAAAGTACAATAAAAAGCCTCTGAAAATCAAGTATGCTGTACGATTATTATATTTACAAACATACTGCCTGGTTTCTTAGTTCAACTGTTCACCCCCAAGTCAATGATGTGGCTACTATGACTGAGCTGGAGGGGCTTTCTTAGCAACCAGATTTAGAGGCATACAAAGGGACGCAGGAGGTCAACACATTCCACAAAATTGATCAAACACGTGACCCGTTAAAGTTAGTCAGGATCCTTCGTAGACCTCGGAAATACAGTAGATGGTAAATAGTTGATAGACGCTGCTGTTTCCAGACTGTACCTGATTAATTGTCGCCGATCTTTTGATATACACCGACATTTCGATATTCTTCAAACAACCATAACTCTGCCAATATGACTTTACTTGAGGCGATGCTGTGAGATCAGAAGCTTGAAACCAGGGAAATGATAAATTATACAGTACAAGAGTTGCCTATAAGTATGGTAGAAACAGGTCTACACTATCTCGACGTTCTCGTAGTGTACAACATACTCGAGCAGAGCAATATTATAATCAACGAATCTTCAACGAGCAGGCCAAACCTGTTAAGAAATAGGTTAATGATCCAAGTGCAAATATATAAACAGTTCAGCCTCCTCCCGATCACCACAGAATTGATATCCTGCGCAATACAATATCAATCTGAAGGGCACTGGGTATTGCAGCACCAGTTCCTGTCTGGCTTCTCTGAAATGACAGTTTTTGTAGTAGCAGCATGGCCAATTTGATTTTTGACCTGTAGCTTAACTGGTGGTCCCAACTCCTCATACTCTTTCTCCACAAAAGTTTCTTGGTTGGTTACCTGCTGCTTTGTAAAAGATCAATCTCGCGTAGCCCTGGTTTATCATTTTTAATCAAATTGCATATGTACCTACCATACGGCAAGATAATGTCAGTTAGTATTTCGGAATTAGGAATATGGAAGAGCGCAAATGGTACACAGACCCCTGGACCAACTATATCAGTGAAACATTATATTTAGGTATATAACAATACAAGCTAGGGCTGTTGTCAGTGCAGGATGAGAGTCTAGGAACTCTGCATCAGAAGCTAGCATTGAAGTGTTGAAGCTTGCTGTGGTTGATACTCTTGCTGTGCTTCCCATTGGTTTGGAAGAACTAGTTGGTATTTGGGGCAGGCCATATACGCTGGTACCCTGGTTGTGCGAACTCGAGGTAGCAAGTGGAGCTTTGTGATATGTACTGGTACTGCAGCAAGACAAGTTATCTTTTATTTTACTTGAATGCGTGGGCATGTAGCCAGACCTGTGGGAAGTTTTGGTAATTGCGGTATTATTAACGGGATAAGGAGCTCCACTAAATGCAGGCTTTCCTCTGAGAATCCCAGAAGGAATCCTTGAGCTATTGTTTCTTGGGAGAGCCGGTGTTGGCGTGATCACTGTGATTGGTAAAGTTTGACCTGACAGGCGATGTGCTCTCACTATGCTTCTAGACTGAATACTTCTTTGGGATGTATATGGGATGATATAATGAAAATCAACGTCGCCGTGATTGACAATGAGACACCCACCCAGACAAAAGAAAATGGAGTAAATTACTACCCTTACCAGCATTGTAGGATTGTTGTATGATCACTGGATGTGTAATTATTATTGAAGATATAAACTATTATGGATCGATTGCATTTTCGTTCAAAAGCTGCTGTATGCAATGGGTATGCTTTTTACTCTAAACTGCTCATCTGCATACCACTCTTGCGATGTTGATACAGAGCTTTTATATACATTCCTCATTACCCCCCATTTATCTCCGACCGTCCTTGTCCTTTACTCCTCTTTGGACACCGTCCAGAAGTCAGTTTTACGCTGACATGCAAAAGTGTATACTAGGCCTAGTAAACGGTGAGGAATGCTCTGCAAATAGAGCCCCGGTAACGGTTGTTACCTTTCTTTTCTCGGGCCCTCAACAAAGAAGGGCCACGAAGCACAATGAGATATATAAATGCTTGGCATATTGTTCAAATAGAGCGCCAGGAGCTGATAATCAACCTCCAGGTCCTACGTAATACTGGCATTAAATATGGATCTTGCGGCTTTAAATGAGACCGTCAACGACGCTGCCGGAAAAGCCCAGAAGAACGAAGGTCTTTCTGCTCAGTCATTCTTAATCTCTTTGGCTGTTTCTGGAAGCATCTTCATACCAGTCGTGTATATCTTCACCTTTCTGAAAGATATTGATCACAAGCTTTTGTAAGTAGGCACGTTAGATTGATGATATGAGATATTAACAAAGCAGCAGCCAACCAGGATGTTTAGCGGATCCTGATCTCTCGCCATTGCCCAAGGGCAGAACTCTTTGGGTTAAGCAATTATGGGAATTTATGAAAGATGATACGAAACTCACCGGTAGACTTTCATTGGACTGTCGCTTCTTTCTGCGCCTACTACAGGTGGCCGTGAGGCTCTTCGCGCCGATAGCTGTTATTATTCTTCCTATACTACTTCCGGTGAATTACACTGCTAATGACATAAATGTTGGGGGTCTTGATAAATTCAGCATATCAAACATCCAAAAAGAGCAACACATAAGATGGTGGATCACAGTTTTCGCTGCAACCTTGGCCAATATCCATATCTGGCGTCTTCTACTTGTGGAATTTAGATTAGTTGTGAAGGCAAGGCAGAACTACTTTCATGAATGTTTCTCAGCTCAAAGAGCAGCTACAATAGTGATTACTAACATCCCACCGAGAACGTGGAATGGCGAAACTTTGAGACAGATCTATTCGGCCTTTAATGGAGGGCCAGTGGATGTAATCCTACCACAACAGGAAGTCTGCGATGGCAAGGAACTCGAGCTTAGAACCCTTCTCCAAGACCTTGATACAATAATGCGAGTACGCCCGCATATATCTAGGAAAAGGGTTATTCCCTCAAGCATTAAACTCATGGCTTATTTTCGAGAAAAAGCCCTTCTTGGATGCAAAATTCACAATCTGCGAAGAGACATTGAAAGAACTAAGAGTATTGCACTACTTCACTTCTCAGACTTGTTCACAGCTCATCTGCTGCTGCAAGCAAGAGCATCTTCAATACCATTGGAACTAGAAGCACATGATACTGACTTAAAAACCTTGGATCCTGTCCTCTACTACGGCAAACTTTCTAGAACTCTGCGGAGTATCAGTATCCTCGTGACCCTGAATGTTTTGGCCATACTTTGGGCAATCCCAGTATCCTTGACGGGACTTTTGTCACAGCTTGTTTACTTGGATTCGATTGGCTCGCATTTACATATCCTGTCAGACAAAGAACTGGGTGCTATTCAAGGGTTGGCTCCTCAAATGGCAGCATCCATCCTCATGTACTGTTTTCCGGTCGTTCTTCGGTTTCTGATGAAATACTATATTGCATTTGAGCGTCCAGCTGTCGAGGTCTTGCTACAAAGACATTACTTTCTATTTCTTTACACTCAGCTTTTTATTGTAGTTTCAATATCTTCTGGCGTTACTACTATGATCCCTGAGATTGCCAACAACGTTCAATCGGTACCGTCATTGTTGGCCAAGAATTTGCCCAAGTCGGGAGATTACTTCTATTCCTACTTCTTATTGCAAACTGTCACACAAACTGCTTTGATATTATTCCGACTACCTGACAGTCTTTGGGTATGTTTAAGACGAGGTGGAAAAAAGCATACCTTAAAAGAGGTACGATGGAGCCTACTTTATCCCGTTTTCACAAACCTTATTTGTATAGGTACGTATTAAATCTGTCCCAGGTTTATGCTCCCACTGACACAAGAATATCTAGGTATTATCTATTCTATAATCTCCCCCCTTATAGCACTGATTGGGACTATGGCGTTTGGAATTTTTCTGATAGCACATGCCTATCAATCAATTTATATACTTGAAGCAAATGAGGACACCGCAGGCTTGTTATACTGGGAAGCACTGAATCAACTATTTGTCGGTGTATATACCATGGACCTTTTCCTTATTGGCCTTTTTATTTTGCGAAATGTTTTAGGACCCATGATTGTTGCTATTATCCTACTTGCCGGGTCTGCACTAGTACAGAATTACGTTCGGACAAAGCTGCATCCCCTTATCAAGTTTGTTTCTGCCAGCAAAAATGAATTGGGTAGTTAGTAATTCGTGTTTTAAGGACAATTTTACTGAATCCTCTTTTGTATCTGGTCGTCTATCACGGTTGCTATTTAGTTCTTTATAAGTGTACGTATGATGGCAGGGTGAATCTCTCAGGATAGAGTTTGCCTTCAAGGAATGCTGTTTATTTCCAAATGTCTGACTATCAAACCATTTTTCAGATGGTAATATGGTAGAGTATCCCAGTGCTACCACCTACGCTTCTTTTCTTTCTTCTGCAACCACGGTTTCTAAGAGACAGTGGTGGATGTACCAAAGGTCTGCTATTTATTAGGAAGTCTGCAGGAGCGGCTTATATAGAACTAGGCATTTATATTGATGATATAATAGCCACACATAGTAAGGGGCAGACTGGGTAAAGAATGGGGCTTAGTGACTCCGTTGAGAGGGACGCTTTTGAGGCTGTGTTGGGTTTCGCAGAAAGATCTGGCAGTTTCGGAGCACTATACAATGCCTACATCTGTAAAAAACCTGTATAACTAGTGTCAGTCTATGCGTAGCTTATGTAAATAGAGGGTAGGACAATCAGGTCATATTCCGTCCCGGCTGTATACACTTGCTTAGCTTATTTCAACAATCCTATAATGGACGTAGCATCCAAAGGCCAAATCTTAAGTTTACTATAGCCTACTGAATATGAAATCAGTGCCCGCCGAGGAATACATTGTTTGGCCCCCATCCGTATCAATCTTGCAGGGGGTTATTGCCCAATTAAGTCAGACAATCAGGCTACCAATCTATCATGTGACTCTAATAGTATAAATACGGCTTTTGTGCTCGGCTTCCACGATTGTCTCTTACCACCCTTAAAATCTAATCTATCTCTCGCTAGATCGTTCCGGTTTCAACTTCAAATTGACATGTTGAGTAAATTGTTCGCCACATATATGATCAACATGGTCGTCTTTAAAACTAAATGCCCTTAGGATCTTACAGCTCCATTGCAGCGTGTGTCTGAGATCCTGTGTCACAGGGCCTCGGAAAACAAAACGACTTATTTCGTTGCGGGTTTCGCGTCTACGAGCGAGGGTGAAATCAGGAAGACCCGACTAGCATCGTGTAGCAAACGGGGCATACCGAAGCGAGATGAACTCTGCTCTTCTAGAATGAACTGGACTATCTGTGGTCTATTTGTCACAATTGAGTCAAAAGGCTCTCGTCTACCAGTCGTTTACCTTCTAGGCGCACATCTAAATGACAAGATAAGGACTGTGTTTGATCCCGATATTTGCTTTTAGATTGATGAGGAGTCGATTATGCAGTTCTCTCCTTACCTATATAGCACTTACTCCACAAGTCCTGGTACGTACTTCGGATGATTAAAGAAAGTTAATACTGCTATCTCTGGCTAAAGGTACGTGTGATTTTGAAACCATTCCTCGGCGTGTATATGCGGGTATAAGGGTTGTCCGCGCCAGGAGAAAAGAATTGCCGGAAGGATGGTTGCAGCCTCGCCGTTCAGGAAGAATCAAAGCACTGTTGAAGAAGGAGCGCGAAGCCTCAGGTGGAACTTCTAAGAGCAACTAGAAGAACAGACGACGTGCTACATAAATCAATCGCTATACAGCTACTTGCAAAAACGTCGCAAATGTTTACTCTCTCTTTATTTCCGAAGCCCCGAGGCTAAACTGTATTCGGGGTATTTCGGAATAGCTATAATCCGGATGGTTTCCTGGTTATAAGCGAAACAAGAAAATAAGTTGTAACGTCTCATACATAGGTTTCACGGGTGTTGAAGCTCCTCGAATATGCCAGACCGGCGGTTAGTGGGTAAATCATCCAAATGCGAATTTTTAGGAAGTGGGACTTGACCCCGCTTTGGACACAAACTCCCTCTTCATCTTCATCCCAAGCGTCATCTACAGTCCCTACTGTAGCAAAATCGCGCTCACCAGCAAGTATGTGATAATTATGCCTTAGCCCCACTACTAAGGCTTTAGCTGGACTATTTTATTGATCAACTTGCTCATATGCGATCGACCCGATCGCATCACAGCGATTCAACACCATATCCTTAGGTTAAGAAACAATATGATTTGTTGTCTTTCACCGCTCTCCTTAGTCGTGTATAGCCAGCAATAAGCACGTATATGATATACCTCAGTGGCAAATCGAACAAAATACGACTCCTATTCGGGATACTATTTGAGTAAAAAGGTGAACCTAAATACAGTTTGATTTTCAACAGAGCAAGAGGAATCAGCTCTTCTCCCGAGAAATTAACGACTGCAGATCTCCAAGAGCAGAATCAAGGGATGAGGCTTTCTGAACCACCTTTACTAGATTGTTCACATCATCTTCCTTCCCAGAACGCAGGATACTGATTAAGTACATGGATACATGTCGATAGCTTTCCATGTCTTTCTCTGCAGCCTTCCGTGTCAATTTTCGCCGTTTGTCTGTTAGAGGCTCGAAACAACACTCGCTATTCGTTGCAGCGCATGCTCCACAGGGAGGAGGGCCACTGCACTTTAGAATATAAGCAATACTTAAACGCACGTATTATGAGATAATACATACTTTTACTTTCTTTTGTTGACACGACGAGCAAGCTAAACTCCGCCGCTTTGACCTTCGTTCGACACGGTGAACGGGGGTAGGAGGCTTATGAGGGCTGCGACATACTGCAGGCAAAAGTGTTCTGAGTGGGGCTGCAGGACTTGCCATTGACAACGTTCGCACTGATGCTAATCGTGTGTAAGTGGGAATAAAAAAACTTAGGATGGAGATAAGAAATAATAACTATAACTTACGAGACCAGCTTCACATTCTCTTTATAGGAGACTGACTCTCTTTCTGTTTCTATTTCTGCTGCGTTATCCATGTTTGCCATTTTCCAAATAACAGACGCTAAGTATGCATGCAGCAAACAAAGACACAAAAACTAGGGCCAGTTGGAACAAAGAAAGCAAACTGCACCATTATAGGTATGGATAATATTCGTCTTACAAATCCTTCCAGGTTTCTTCTTTGACATTTATGGCACCAGCACAAGGTTAAAATATCCAATGTCCCTTCACGCTAATATCCTATTACCCCTTTGGAGAGAATATCTCACGTTGATGCAAACGAGACTGGAGCATAATTATATATCTCAATTGTGGGGTTAGGAGGTGGACCAGGGTCACATGCGTCCAAAAAAGAAACATGACAATGGAAGAAAGCACGGATTGCGAATGGGGTCGGAGAATAATACATCCGTCGTACTAAGATCCTTTTGAAATATTCTATCGTCTTCTCGTCTGCCTCTTATCTGCTGTCAGGGTTGCTGACGTCATAACGATCCCATTCCTTGTTTTCTAAAAGAAAAATAAAAAGAAACTTAAGCCGTGTTCCTCTCGGCATTTTGTTCCCCCCCCCGGATAACGTAGCTTTCCAGATATTTCCTAATATTTGGCCATATTCTTCTAGTTCCGACAATGCAGCCACATTGGCAAATTGGTACGAATCCTAGGCTTTCTTACTGATTCACATTATCTGACAAATACCAAAGAACAGAGCCAAGGAATTAAACGGCTTGTTATCACACAAAGCAAAGACTACAATGACGACTATGCGCCGCTCCCCAACACCATTCAATGAGTACAGCAATGCTATGAGCCTATATACGAGAGTTCAGCTAGCGACAGTTATGACACCAGACTTAATAGTTCCAAGAGCAGCAACGATAGTGCTTAACGTCACTTATACTCTACCTCAGGAAGCAGCTACCGCAAGCTATAATTTAGCATGCGGGTTTCCCGAAACTGGTCCTCGGAAAGTTTTGATCATGAACGGTGCAAGCGTGAAGAGCGGGCGCATTCCTCACTTGTATCAGCCTTTTGGGAGATAGCATGAAGATCATAGTGGGGGGATAGTACTGCTGCTCGAGTAGTTTCACGCGTGGTAGAAACCCTGAGAATGGCCTGGTGGGTGGCATCGATTTTTTATATTGAACGTCTTTGTATCACTGTCCTAGCAGAAAATATTTCCATTTGATAGTAAGCTCGACATGGGTATATCTGGGTAAAAGTAATACCCCAGCAGAAACGACAATAGTGGTATACCCCACTAAATTGCCGTAACTAAGCTTGTGATCTCTTTCTACCAAACCTGACATGAGCATCACATAAGGTTCTTCTGAATTGAACTTAAACCGAAACAAACGTCAAAAAAGCATCCATCCTAAACTGTTCCTTCTGGTTTCTGCATCCTATTCGCATTGTCGATTGGTTGGTGCAGAGGACTATCTATCATTTCCGGAATTTGGGATTTCTTGCCACTAAAGCCCTTGTTCGCATCTTTGTTGGCATTACTGGTGTTGGGAACCGGGGCATAAGGATGAGAAATGCTATCACGTATAGGATGGGCTGTGCCAGTTTGAATTGCACCTTCATCAGTCACTCTATCGGCTGTAGAGAGAGCCAAATCACCCGAATCAAAGTACCTCCGTTCCTTTCACTTGTCAGTAGCTGACTTGGGCTGCCTTATCAGAAACATACTCTAGACTGCCGTCTGAGCAGCCCTCCATGAGGCAGCCTATCATAAAGGCGGAGGCGGCGTTTCTCATCCTCGGAGAGAGTCTAGTAACATATTAGCCCAGTGCGCTATATCTCAATGATCCTGGGGAATCGTCTAACCTGCGAGTGGGTTTCTTTATCCCGTTTTGCTTCCATTATGATTTGTGTCACGTACGTAGGTTATTTCGTTAATAGCGAAGAACAAAGAATGATGCACATTAATATATTGAACTATATTTATTGCCACTTGATATAAATGCCTGCGTTTAGCCCTATGGATGAGAGCCGCCCAACCGAATCATCATGTCATCATTTTATCACTTGCCTTCCCATCCATAGAACGTTAACCCCTTTAGAGTTAAAAATGGGAGGTCACATGTCGGGGCCTGAAAGACAGAAAAGCATTTTTTAGAACACTTGTATGGATTAGTCACCGTATCGTATCGAATTAGGTGTATTGAGAAAGTGATACATAAATTAAGTTCATAACAGTTCCTATAGACCTACCTCGTCATTTTGTCAATGTTCATATTCATTGGATACATATGACTCTCGGATTACTAGTCCTCAACGGCAACTCTTGGAGTAGCTTCGATTGGGGCAATATTAATCAGCCGAAAGAAAAAAACAAGACAGAAACGACTAAGGGCGCAACAGCACATGTACACTATCAAATTTTTAACTTCTAAAAAGAAAATAATTCTCAGATCGCATATTTGTTGTTCCGACCGAGAACTATTTTGGAGAGTGCCCAAGGTTCGCTCCGAAGGAGAGAATGCTAGAATTAAATATTATAATGTGTCCCACTGACGGCTCCCCTATGTACTTTGTGTCACATTTTACCAAACCTTACGGCGACCGAGATACCAAATAATATTTCCAAGTCGCAGAAAAAGTAACAACCCTTTGAGCAATAATGGTTCAAGAGAACCACCACAGCTTAGGAAGGTAAACAGATCCTATCCGAACCTTTATTCCAATACATCTATGGGTTTATAGCTTAACTGAAAAAAACTTCGCAGCAATAGTAACCTATCCAACGAAATTAATGCCAACGACAATAATCAGGTAGACCCAACTGCAGACCCTCGAAGCCCTGCCGCCACTGCTGAATATGCGGATTATTACCGTGAATTTCTTAATGAACTGGTGGACTCAATACGAAATGAAGATCAAGCAATGGTAGCTCGCATTGTTGGTCTTATACGATCTGGTGCATCTCAGCATGAGGTTCTTGGGGCGATCCGGAGCGCAAATAGTTAGTGCGAAAAAAGAGGGTATTCGCCACGGTTCTGCGTATGGAACTGTCTAGTTGCACATGTATCTGCCAGTGGTATTCCTTTATAACGACGATCAAGCCTCGATTCAAAATAATACGAAACAGCTAGCTATTGTGCCGAGATCTTCATAAGTTCCTATCTGTACCCCACTTCGACACCCAAACAATAATCCATTATAGGAACTATTCGATTAATGATTTTTGTTCCAATGAGACCGTCAAAACATTTCTAGAAAGGACCGTTCTCGTATCAGAGTGCACGATAAATATCGACAATCCCTAACCATTGAAACTGCGGCCCTCGTGGCGCGCGGCTTCGAAATCTCTGATATGCTTCTGCGTTGTCCAGTACCGCACTAAAGTGCTATTGTTCTACGGGGCATCTCGTAACCTACCTTTCTTACTTTGATCAGCTCACCCCAGCATTTTCGAGATGTTATTGAATGCTCTTCCAAACTTGCGTCGTAGTTCCTGGCGCAGTCTGTTCAGCCGCGGGCAGTCACGTGAGAAAGACTTGGGGTAATTGTCGTTAACTGCGTCATTATTTTTTAGTACGGAAGTTCGTGACAGTGTCCATCGGAAAAACTTACTAAATAGGATTAGCGTGCTTGGGGCTTCCGAAATCCTCGGAGTATAAAACATTTGCGCGGTTTTTGCAAGTAGCTGTACTCAGTTGAGCATCATACATATGGTTTGTAAAGTTTTTGCACTGAAGGAAAGCAAACCATATTCTGTATATAAGGATTCGACTTTGAGCCTTCCGAGGCTTAAGATACTGTGGCTATTTGAGTAATCTTACTTGGGTTAACGTGTATTTTCAATCCGTTTATATCCTGATTAGTTTTCATAGCCTTTCATCCTATTTTTCTCGGAATCAAACGAGTAATTTAAACAAGTGGTTATAAGGAAGATTGGCCCGGGTGCGCCTATAGTATAAGTAAAGGAATTGTAAATATCCTTCGGTGTCGGTAAGCTTTTACGAGGGCAATTTTGGTATGTAACTCCTAGGAGTATAGTATTGAAAGCCGCTTTCTAATTGACATTTCCTTGAGAAATTTTGGAAGGAATAAATGCTACATAGTCAAACTGAAAATATAATCGCTTTTTAATGCTATGTATGTTTCTACATTTCTATATAGACAGAAAAGAATGAGCTGAGGGCTTCTGGAAGACATGGATTAAAATCTCTCTGCCTTGGGCAATACCATTGTCTTCATCGTGTGAGCCTACGACCATTACTAAGAGGACTCTCATGTAACCATTCTATAGCGCAATCGTCTTCACTATTGTCTATATGATGACTGTTCTCTACATCACTGTTTAGATCTATATGGATTTTGGTTCCTTCCCACATAATTCCGGTCGGTCCAATTTTGGCGACGAGAACCTTACCAAGCATCAACCCCCCCCCCCCCCAACCTAATCGCCTTAATAAAAACACCAGGCTATATAGATATAGTTTACTATCACTGTAAAGCGTTCAACAAATCAAAAGCTCGGCAGACAACAAAAAAAAAAAAATAAAGCCCTCGACTAAATACCAACAGAGATCATCAAACTTCCAGTCATATCAACTGGTTTTTGCCCGTTGGTCCCTATATGACAAACTGCTCGGATTTAGATACATTATTAAGGTACTTAATTGGGCCGGTGCTTTAAATTGAGGGCCTTTAGCAAGTATAGTCAACCGTTCAATACAACTTTACAGGGTATGCAATACAAATGTCAATTTAAAATGCCCTTTGCAATGTGTTATCTGTCCCTAGTTTTGATATCTTACCAATGTTACGCTTCCTCCTCAACAGGTTCCCAGCGAGGTGGTTCATCTAAGATCCTGATAGCGGGGCCAAAGCATATCCAACTTGCTGGTGAAGTGTAACAAGGACCACTATACAGGCTAGACAGTCTGTCAACTAGTTAAGATGAGAGAGAGAGGAAAACCGTATACTATTGACAGTTGTATAAGGAGTACTAATAGACTAATTTATCTCTTTTGCTTTGTTTGATGCCAGTTTTGGATGGCTTAGAGTGCTCACATATTTGATTGAGTTCCTGCATCACAAAAAGAACCCATCTGCCAGATAAACTTTCACCGGGCCAGATCAAGATCGCGAGGTGGGTAGCAATGAGTATGAACTAGAGGTGTTTAGGGGCCGGGAGAACTGTATAGCCCATGGGCCGAATCTATCTGTGAGAAGGAAAAGGAAGGTTCTTTTCCTATATCTCACTCTCCTCTTCTTTTTTATTTCTTTCTTTTGCCTTTTTTTTTTTTTTTTGGTCCTCTATTAATCTTTGGGCTATGTTTGGAATTAGCCTATTATTCGTTTAATTATCTCTTTCCAACTTTTCCCTAGGCAATCGATATCTATTAATATAGGGTATCTCCGGCAAGAACATCTTCTCAAAATACAACAGATACATTCCAAAAGCTCTAATCCAAGGACCCCTCTACTAGTACTACTAAACAAGCAATAGATACTTTATTAATAATATCTTTATCAGTAGATTTTAAAAATATTACTATTCACTTAGGACCTTGTTCTAACACTGGAGTACTGTCCTCTGAAGAAGAAAAGATTAACGACATAAAACTCAATCTCAAATTTTATAGGGTTTCCAGCATAGATATTAAAGCTTTAGTACCGGGTTTTCCAAGACATCCAATATACTTTGGATAATATACTCAAAGAATTTATCTGTCTTAAGAGATCTCTGTCGATTGACACATCCATCGCAATCGCTAGAGGCTTTGGAAAAAGATACAGTACTGCCCAAAATTACCCTCCACCTTATATACACATAGAGCTGTTTCCAAACCCGAAATACAAGAATATACTAGTTCTTATGTAGTTACCTCCATATTGACACTCGGCTTTGACCTCAAATGGTAGGATATAGCAAAGAACACAGATACTTACACATTAATACTTAGCTGTATCATATAGTTTTTACTTTGAAGAGACCCTATTATTAGTTCCAGACCAAAAGGATATAGTTTAAACAGGGTTTCGAGTATACCTTACAAGGGCTCAAGCCGGTATTTGTTCTACTTTAATTGCCTATTGAGTATTATTTTGGGTCGTGCCTAGTTATGCTTGGTGTAAGTTGTTGACCGCGGGTTCCTGTTCTGGCCTAACGCCTACGCGCACCTTTGTTAGATAGTTATGTAGCTAAGACATTACAAGTAGAATAATCAACGCTTTCAACCTCTTTGACAGTTTGTCTTAAGTTGATTGATTTAGCTCCAGACTACTGAAGCGCTTCAACATATTAAAAAGCACAAACATACAGTTTTGAATCACTACAGTATACTGCTTCCCTATGGCACCAATACAGGATAGGTTAAGGCGGAATTAGCAGTTTCATCTGAGTCCCTATCTCAAGTGTCTCACCCATTCTCGGGTTTTGAAAGGGTTACTGAATCAATAATTTTTGTCAGTGTCCTGGCAATAGGGCCACATTATAATTTTTATATACTTGCTGGTGAAGGATACATCGCCAGAAACTATACTGACCGGATGATCCAGCTGCTAAGCCATCTTATAGTATATAGTTGAAATTGCCGTCAACACAAGCACCCATGATCAAGAGCTTTACATTAGCCCACCGACATATAATACTAGTCTCCAATGATCTTATACTAACTATAACATGCAGTCTGCTCGATACAGCGTCTTTATAGAGAGGTAGACGCACGTTTAATAAGCTTACAAAGCTAGACACAAAATGGAGGAAGATATGATTAGTACATAGGAAGATAATTCAAAAGTTTAGTGTTGATTGCACTTCTTTGTGGAAATCCCTGCACTACATATTAAATAGCTATGTGCAGTCCTATATAAATGCGCGTACATAAAAACATATACATACTTCGGAGTAACAACATGTGACTTCAAACTTCAAAGTGATATATATGGTACAATACTTATCAGAAAAGAACTGTAAAATATTTAACAAGACAAAACTATTATATTTCTTCAATTATATGTGTTTTATTTAATTTATTAATACACTTTCTGCTAATATATTCTATCTGTATTGACTCTTCTAATTTTGACTGTATTAATCTCGCATTTCAGAATATACACAGCAAACAATGGTTCCGAAGAATTTATTTGTGATATTTTGACTAAATCTCAAATGGCAGAGATAGCCGAATACAACGATATACAATCAAAAAAATCAAGAACTTTCAACAGTTTAAAAGTGTTTATCTCTCTTCCCCCTTTAAAAATCACATCGGCTGAGACGAAGCATAACACCATCCATGTGAGAAGCGGACTGTGATCATCCGCTCCAGGTTTTGGTGAGGTTTTGAGTACCGAGTGGGCACTCTCCAAGCTCAAATTCACCTTTTGCTCCCGCACATTGTGCTAGGCAAGCATTCTCATAGGTAACACCGGCATAACACACTGGTGCTAATATATAATGGCATATACAAGGCTCAGCTTGTACTGCCTTTGTTGTGAGAATCGTAAATAATATTGTAGGGAGAAGTTGCATTGTTTCTATTTCTTATAATCCTTCTGTTAGCCATAAAACTCAAGTAGAACGTCTATCACTATAGAAGTTAGATATTAGGGATATTTATACCTAGTAATTATAGTTGTGGTAATTAACAGAGAGTGTAGTGTCTGTGCCTGAAACCGACAAAGGAAGAAATATTTGTAGAAGATAAAGAGATTGGATAGGAAGGAAAATAAATAGCTATATAGAGAAGGATAAGATAATAGAATTCTTTCGGTATAACTCGACAGATAATCTTTATTAGTACATTACTTATTAGGGAGGTAGGATATTCCAAAGCTAGGCCCTGTTAGGCGAAACCGGTGGAACCTTACTGTTGTGATCTGCGTTAGGGAAACCAATGAGAGGATAACCATATCAATAATATTCTTATAGTCCTCGTTAGATACCTAGATTAGGTTCAATAGTTCGGACCAGTTTGCGGCAATAGGTGGCAATTCTGCCGATGAGCTCTACCTAGCCCAAGATTTAGTAAAAGTATCTCTATAGCGAATCGTTACCCAAGCTATAAGGGCCACTGATATTCATCAAACCCACCAAATTTCTGGGTCTACTTGTTTCCGAAGGCGCGGCCTGCTATCTGGATAGCAGACTCTCTCACGATAATTGATAGTGGGTACTTGTTTATAAATTGTCTCAATAGTGGTATATTATAAAATGGTGTACACCGACTGTTTTAAATTGTAGATCTTACTATAGGCGTACTAGCCTGGTTGCTGATCTGGCCGAATAGCCCCTTATATAATTGCTGCGGATTCACCTTGACGTAATTAGTAAGTGAGCAACGCATGTAAGCGGGTGACGCGCCACCCACCATACTGAAAATTAAAATGATCAAAACACCATAAATTTAGACTCCTATATAAAATTATAATTCTATCGATTCGGGCAGTATATGATTTTATGGCCCTGTACACCACTACCAGAACATTTAGATGGGGCGTGTCTAGGAGCCGATTCAGTATGCAGAGCCCTATCTGCCTGTATATCCTCATCAGCCTGATTTCGGCGCTCTATAAGGTTTTGGGCTTCAGATACTGATGTGCCAAGGGTGGTCCTATTATATTTTGTATACAGCTGACAAGATTTGTAAAACGGGAATAATATACTGTAAAACACCGCTATAAGCAACCCGCAATGCAATTGGGTATCTGAAATAGAATACAATACAAAAATCCCTTGTATAAACTGTACAACTTTAGTATAAATTCAAAGGCTGACAATCAACCAACAACTAAACAGAGATGAT